AATTCAATCACAATTTAACCACAATATATATGAGAGAATTTAATTGTGAGAAAGTAAAGCCACAGATACAGAAGGAAAATGAACATAATTGTGAAATGCAATGTCATGAGTCTCTAAAACTTCTGAAAATGGCTAAAAATCCCCTTCAAATATTTTGTTCACCTCCCCATTGTCCTCTAATTAAACTTCTTTTCCTCAAAACCAACAATTGAAGTTTAACATAGATTTAATTTCATCATTTTCTCCTGGCTACTTACTCTAGCAACAGTACTGTTCTTTGCACACTTCATGTCAACTATTTATTTTAGCTAGGTAACAGATTAATGGCCTTTGACTTCATAGTACATATGAGAATTTAATCATCATTTATATCATTATTCCTAATGAGGAAACATAGTCCAAGTAAACAACTCGCACACTTTCAGGAACATAAAAGTTGTGAGTTGATGACTTTCTGTAAGTTGCTTATTTGAAACATGGATAATGTATGTGTTAAATCCAACAGAAAGGATTATTCAGATTTTTACAGCATGGTTTTCCTAAGCTTTTTTTTTTTTTTTTAAGATTATATGTCCTTTTTGAAGATTTGAAATTGACTCCTAGAATTGGATGGAAACTTACCCATCTAAGTTACATAAGTGATGGAACATATATTAGAATCTCCAATGCATGTTTAGATTTTGCAAAATAACTTTACCATTTCTGGGAAGGGAAATGTAGGAGAATTAAGAGCATTCCCTTCCAAATTTCTTAGCTAACTGTAAAATGAACAGTTCCAGTTTCAAGATGCTTTTTTCTATTTGATCACTTCAAAGCATTTTCCAAATATTATAAAATGCCATTTCAAGATCAGAGGAAAAACCCTTTGTTGTTTATAAGTTTCATTGTAATAAAGGTCAGTTGATCCAGAATTGTTCAAAGCTATCTATATAACGATTATGGATGTAAAAGGCATTAAAAGGGATTAAATTATATGGTTCTGTGAGTATTCATCTTTAAGAGAGAGACTATTCAACCAAAGGAACTAACGACTTATTTTTCAATTAGGTTAACATGCTCCACCCTATTACAAAGTAAAAAAAAAAAACTACTCTTTAAAATGTTTGTTGTTGTTATGAATGGTCAAGTCAACTCCAACTCATAGCAACTCTATGGGTCAGAGTAGTATTGCCTCATAGGGTTTTCTAGGCCATAATCTTTATGGAGCAGATGTCCAGGTTATTAGGGGTCAAAAATATGAGCTTTGTTGTCACGTGAATTTCAAATTCCCTTCTACCATTGTTGTTGTTGTTGTTGTTGTTGTTGTTGTTATGTGCCGTGGAGTTGGACCCGACTCATAGTGACCCATCCTTGGGTTACCGAGGCAGCATCACTACGGAAGTAGATTGCCCCATCTTCCTTCCAAGGAGTGGTGGGTTTGAACCACCTAGCCTCTGGTTAGCAGTCAAGTGCGTTAGGCACTACGCTACCAGAGCTCCCCTTCTACCATTACTGTCACCAATATACTATTTTTTCACTCTTCAAGTTTAGAAAAAGATTTGCAAAAGTATTGTATATTGAATACACTTATTTTCAGGTTGTTATAAGTAGTAAACATAATAAAATTTATGAAATAACCTTATACATTGCAATTAAATGCATCAAGGCCTTAAAATTAACTTGTCAATTTTAAAAAAATCACTATATAGGGTAAAACCATTGGCACCCAAAAACCGTATCTTTTGAGTATAACACCTAATAGGAAACTATGTTCACCTGAATATGAAACTTTAAACACAAAGCACCTTCAATCTAGTTCTGCATGGACAAGGGAAAGTACTTCCAGGGCAGCCTCACGAATAAACAGTCATCCTAAGAAACTGACTTGATTTCAGTTATCTTAGAAGCAGCAGCTGTAACACCATTTTCAAAATTTAATACTAATACATGAAAAAATAGTTGCCCTAACCATATAGACTGTATTGTAAGCTTAGTCAATACATACACCCCTTAGCAAATAATTCCCTTTGCTCATCATCTCATAATACACAAGGCTCCATAGCATGTGACATTCTTCAGGAAAGAAACAATTCAAACCAATCACTGCTGGGGATAAATAAAAAAAGAGAATCAAAGAATCAAGTCCTTTAAAATATTATTTTTTAAAATAAATATATTTGAAGTGAACCATGGAGCCACAAACTACTGGTAACCTGATCGAGGTCCCTGTAGAATTATTTCTTGCCTTCCTAGATATAAGAACAACTGGAGAGAGAGGTAATAACAGTCCTCATCAACAGCCAAGATTTCCACTAGGCATTGAATGAATGGAGCCTACATCTCTGTTCCATAAGAATGAAAGCACAAACTAAACTATGAGCTATTCTGCTGAAAAGGTGTTTACTATTGCTTTACAAAAAGTAGTTAAGTAGCCTTGAAAAGTTACCATGGGCAAGCTTTGCCAGAGCAGCTGACTACAACGCTTTAGAAGGACAGAAATTCATACACACACATATGCAAATATATTCTCTTCTAATAATATGTATATGAGTGGATGACTGTATATGTGTGCATGTGTGTGTATGTGTGTATGATATTTGTACTAGTTTTTATAGACATCACTTTATCTAGATGTTTGGTGATACATTCTCAGAGTCCAGTGATGTTTCAGCATATAGCTGCAATGATAGGATTTGAGAGTACCTTTTAAGGAATTCCTTATCTTTCCAAGGTTATCATGATAGATGGAACAGCTTAGTTTCCTCTATAGAAGAGCTAAATGGGAATAATAACAACTGTTATACTACATCTTCAATTAAGAGCAATTCAGAGGTGAAACTCTTGGATACAACATTCAAAACATGAACACATATTGCCAAAACGATAGGCAACTAAGTTAGAAAACCATTGATAGACCAATTAATATCTGGTTAAGGTTTCCACCTGCCTTTGTAAGGTTACAGAACTATTAATAAGTCTTGAAAATCATTTAAATAGCAACAATGGGTAGACACACACAAATATACACACACACACACATACATATACATATATACACATTAGCTTCATTTAAATTTTTAAGCCAATAGAAAACCTGTCCAATTTCTTTTGCAAGGATCTGATGGAAAGCAACTGTTTCCATAGTGTCACCTCTAATGTGTACCAGTTCTAGGATAACATCCTTCATTAGATAAATTTGGCAAACCCAGAGCAATAGTGCCAATTCAGCCCCCACACAAGTCTTTGTTACAGTTCTCATTTCAGTTTAGGCAGCTCAGATAAGCTTATCACGAGGCTTTGAACTGAGATTCTGGGATGGCACAATAGATCATATTACCAGGAAAATCATTAATGAGCATCAATAAATGTTACTACCGCCAAAGAAGATGCATCAGTTCCGTATTTTGCAAGGCAAGAAGTCAAATGCAAGATCTTACACTTGCCCATGTAAGATTAAAATATAATCAGAATGTATGTTGATGCATTTTAAAGAAATGCTACATGAAATTTAGCTGGAGAAATATAATACTTCTAGACAAGAATCTCCCCCCAGAAGGGTAATCCACATGAGCTTTTAATTGAAAAGTACATCAGTAATACTCTTTTTGTTTGTCTTGCCTTGTTATCAAAGATTAAATCCATTTTGAATTAATGGAAATGATTTAATCTCAGAGCATTAGTAATCTCAATTTATTTAGGCCTATATTTAAAGAACTAGTTTCAAACCAGACCAGGCCCCAGAGCAAAATGATGCCCAATCTCTCTTTCAAAGCTATTTTCTAAAATCTGTGGGGCATGACTCTAGAATTATTCACTCCCCAAATCACATTAACAATGTTTGACACGATGACAGAGAGCGAAAGAATTAATTTCTGTCAAATACAGGCTACACTGTTGTTGTTTTAAACCATTCTCCTCTTATTCCATTTTGATAAATTTCTAAGGAATGTTTTAAATCCGTAGGATAGACCTTGGCTTAAGAGGTGGCCTCTGACATTGTCATGGCTGATTTGAAACCCATTATGCTGTCGATTCTGCACTGTGAAATCCAGTCTGGGGACAAATTTCTGCCTGTCATCTTAGGAAAGGCCAAGAGTTTTACACCATCCTGTAATGTGAAAACAGAAAATCAAAGCCAGTATACTGCTGCTTGCTTCTTTCTTGATTAGCTTGCTGTCTTTTTTTTTTTTTTTTTTTGAGTCAATCTTGGTTGTCACTATGTGAAGCTCGGAAAGGTATTTAAACAGAATAAAATATAGCTTAAAAAGCATCTCCCCAGGAAAAGTTCATCTTTACACTTCAAAATGAATGCAAAAAGGTAATCAGCAAGTAATCATTTAATGCTTGGCTAGGAACCAATGCATGAGGACAGCATTTAGGAAGCACAAAATTCTTTCTTAACCTGGTAAGACCCTGAATTGGGAGCCAAGAGGCCCGGATATTTTCCTTAGATTACTCATTCTGTTGCAATGACATCCCCAGAAAACTATCGCTTATGGGCCAAATTTGTTGTGCCCTTCCTCCAACAATAAAATGTAAATCACAGAGATAAAAATATATCAGACATGATTTTTAAATATTTTTAAACAGGTCACTAAAAATGACAGTATGGATAACTCTCTCAATGACCTCTCCTGTCTAATGTCAATTTCAGAAGCCAAGTTTCCATTGTAAATGTTTAATCAGTATAGTCCAAGGAACCGAGCACAGACAACCTTATCTTCTCTCCCAACTTATTTGCTCTGCAAGCTCTTTCCTAGCTGTCTCAGCTCCCTGAAAACATTTTAGGGTTTTCTCTCTCAAAGGAGCAAGGAGCTTTGTAGATTCTGAGCTAAGCAAAAGCCCTGTGGTTTGATTCCATTAGTCTGAGCCATGGTCTGCTGCAAGCAAACTGCAGCATTTCTGCTTGCAAAATCCTGGCAACCAGTTCTAGACCAGCCACACACAGGCTGCACACATTCTTCAGCGCTGCTCTCCAAACCTTGCCTGAAGCCAGTCAACCACAGCAGAAAGCATCCTACCTTCCATCATGGTGGCAGAATTGCATTCCTTAATTTCCAAGGAGTCTGAAAAAACGCAAGAGGATACGATTCCAGTTTCCAGCTAAGTCCTCACAGCGCCGCTTCCCAGGTTCGCTGTCAGCTGCCAAAGCCAAAGGAGACAAGTGTTAACCCCAAAGACAGGCCATGGATGCTGCTGATGCTGTTTCACCTACAGGCTCCAAGGAAGATGCTGTGAGAGAAAGGCAGAGGAAGAGCAAACCGGCGGAGCTGCGCCGCCTGCGCTGCCTCGGCCAATCCCTTCAACTCTGGACCGCGTCACATGGTAGCCAGCCTGCATCTCCTGACACAATACCCCCGGAGAGCACACAGAACCTATTTCCCGTCCCCATTGCCCGCCGCCACCCCCATTCCCTCCCGCTTGTCACCAAATACACAACCCCTTCCCCACCTGGTGACGCACTTCCCCCCGCCCCTCCTCGCCGCCTTCCTAAGCCTATTGCAGCGTCCGGGTGCCCGAGATTAATTATCAGGCTCTGCCACCTTAACAGGGTGCTCTGGCATGAAAGGGGCACCTAAGTGGCTCGCTGCGAAGTTGTTTTTTTTTTTTTTTTTAAAAAAACTTCTTAATAAAGCGATGCCGCCTAAAGTCTTCACAACGCTCTTAAGCGCCTATTCCCATCTTTTGCCCTGAAGGAATTCCAAATGTCAGTGCCTGTGCCCTCTGCACACATTCTCTCTCTCTCCCTCTGTCTCTTTTTTTCTCTCTCTCTTTTTCTCTTTCTCTCCCATTCAAGAGAGAAAAATCAATCCGGCTGACGTCACATCATAAACAATTATCCCCAAAAGGATGATGCAGAAGAAATTTCACCCCAGCTGCCTTCAAGTGAGCCAGGGAATTAATCGCGCAAGACATGCGGAAGGGCTGGGAACTGTCATTAAAACAAAGAAACAAAAGAACCCACCCCAGTAGGCTCTGGAATCAAACTGGCAATGCTTGTGATAATTTCTGGAGCGGGAAGCCGGAGAGAGAAGAGAAAGGAAAGAGGGGAGGCCTTAGCCCAATCAAACAGAGCTGTGCATGCCAGCTTCCTCCATTCCAACCTGGGCCAGCAGGTCCGGCGGTAGACAGGACCCAGAGGAGAGCCATTGGATGCACGGTGCCAGTCCCGCCGTTAGCGCGTCCTCCCCGGCCGAGCGCACACGTGAGTGGCCTCGCCTCCGCAGGTGGGGAGGGCAGAGCCTTCTTGCAACCAAAAGTGGCTGCAGCTGCCAATTGCAGTATTTGTAGGAAACAGACTTTCTTCTGAATGACACGTTTTTCTCGTCGTCGTGCCTCCTTCATCTGTAATCGCTTCCAAACCCATTTGTTCACCCCTTGGAAATCCGGAAGGAGACAATTGTGCCGGGTTCTGGCCGGAGGGGTGGGCGGAGCCCAGGGCTTTGCAGTTTAGAAGGATAGAGTCTGGGTACCCTGCAGCTGCTAAGTGGGAAGGGTTATGGACGGGGCTGCTTGAGTAGAGAGTCTGTCACCTGACTTTTCCCCAGGGTCCCCAGGACCCTTTCAAAAATCCCAGGCCCCGGGTCCAGAGAACCTTGTTTCCCCTCAAGCAGACTCAAGAGTTAAAGAAAAAGGAGGGGAGGGGCGAGGTGGAAGAGGGAGAAGGAGAAAGGGAAGGAGGGAAATGGGAGGGAAAGTAAAGGCCTCTTTAGAGCTCTGGGGAGATGACAAGAGTAGGACAGCAGCAAAGTGGGCCCGTCTGGCTACATAGTATAGCCAACACGACTAGGGGGAAAGCTATTACATTACAGGGCAATTGTAAGCAGCAAATGGCAATGTACTAAAAACTTTAAAAAGTAAGGTGCATTACATGATCAGAGTTGAATCTCTGATACTATTGTTAATCACGTATAATGTAGTGCCTAAGGCACTTGACTGCTAACCAGAAGGCTGGCTGTTCAAACCCACCAGTCACTCCTTGGAAGGAAGATGGGGCAATTTACTTTCGTAGTGATACTGCCTCGGAAACCCAAGGAGGGGTCGCTATGAGTCCATCGGACTGATGGCACATAACAACAACAGTTCTTTTTCACCAGACCAAGTATGAGATATTGGTGCCTGAGAACTGCTGAACTGCTTTTTACATCTAAAAAGGCCAGTCGACTGAACTAGCATATTAATAGTTAAAAAAAAAAAAAAAACAACCTCAGTTCCTTAGCAACTTAGGAATTTTTAAAAACTCATTGTGATCCCCGAGGACAGTATTTCAGTGGTCTCTAAATTTGAAAATGAAACTCTCTAGAGAGATACAAATCCTTTTGCCTTTTTCCTTATATCTATGAGACTGAAGAATTCCAAAGTAAAACCTGCCTTGACTGCAACTTGCACTGCTCTGAAAACAGCAGGGGCATTATTGCAAACAAGACTGATTAGTGTGTGTATGTGTATATAACACATTTTTTGTGTGTTGCCCTGAAGAAAATGGTGGGATATTGGTGTCAGACTGGGATCAAGTTTTGTTTCAGCCACTTGAGGAGCTGTGTGACCCCAAACAAGTATATAATTGCTCTGTGCCTCATATTTCTTTATCTGTGAAATGGGGATAAATAATAATACCAACTTTATAGGGCTATAAATAGTAGTAATGACAAACATTTATGAATGGCTTACTATGCACCAAGCTATATTCTAAATACTTTGCCAGTAAACCACTTAACATTGTGTCTGGAGCATAATAAGCCTTCCGTGCTTGTTGATGATATCATTATTACCACCAAAGGGCAGGCAGAGGCATCAAAGAGTTTGCAGTCCACTGGGAGTTGGTCCACATGCACAGAGAAGAATTAAGTGAAACACGAGGTGATACATCCAATGCTTCACCATGTTGGAAAATATTGGGAGGCTGCAAAGTAGAGTGATCAGAACCAGAGGAGGTTGATTAGGGGAAGATCTTCTCAAAGAGAAGAAATTTTAGAATTTAGAAAACACTGAAAAATAGACTTGGAATGGCAATTCTAAACAAGAAAGAAGCTTCTAAGTAAGAAAAGAGGCCCATGTAAAATTTGGAGGTGAATGCAAGCAAGCACTAATATGAGGTTGGGGTACAATGTCAGAGATGTAAGGGACAGGTAAGTCAGAGAAACCCAAGCTGTCTGCTGTCTACAGTGTTTGAGAGCAAACTTCTCATAGATTTAATCTGAACACACATCAGTTTTGTTTTAGATACACAGCAAGGCAACTAGCTAGAGCAAAAACAACTTCAAAGATTTTTTGTTGTTGTTGTTAGGAGGGTGTTTATGTTGTTGTTGTTTGCCATCGAGTCCGCCCCGACTCATAGCGACCCCACCTTGGGTTTCCGAGGCAATATCACTACGGAAGTAGGAATGCCCAACCTTCCTTCCGAGGAGTGGCTGGTGGGTTTGAACCGCCAGCTTTCTGGTTAGCAGTCAAGTGCCTTAGCCACTGTGCTACCAGAGCTCCTGAGGGTGTTTATAGGAAAGACAAAAGTATCTGGAAATGATTATAAGAAAAGGACCAAAAAAGCAATGTGTACTTAAGGGTGGTAAGGCTAATCCCTGGTTAAAGTTTGCTGCAACTTTGTTAGCTGCATGTGTTACACATTTTTTTTATAAATTAAAAGAACAAGCAATGACCAATTGTAAGAAAATTTGATGTACAAAGTTCCATTTCAAATGAAAAGTTGCTCAAGTATGTTGCAGTAAAGACTGTTGTTGTTAGGTGCCATTGAATCAGTTCTGACTCAGGGTCCCTATGTACAACCATATGAAACATTGTTGAGTCCTGTGCCATCCTCACAATCCTTGCTATACCTGAGCCCATTGTTGCAACCACTGTGTCAATCCATTTCATTGAGGGTCTTCCCCTTTTTCATTGACAATTTACTTTTTTTTTTTTAAGATATTTTTGCTCAAGAACAAAGATAGTAGCAGTTCACATTGTGGTCCAGAATTTGTCATGCCATAGTGTACTTTTTGTTTACCAACAAATACAGAGGGGAAATTCTTAGCTGGTAAAAGAATATTTTTGTAAGTCTAAAATAGAAGTCAGCAGATCTGTGGAGAATATTTGGTAAATTCCTGACTTGCATCAAAGTACAGGCATACCTCATTCTATTGAGCTTCTTTTTATTGTGCTTCTCAGATATTGCAATATTTTACAAATTGAAGGTTTGTAGCAACCCTGTGTTGAGCATGTGTGTTGGTGCCATCTTTCCAATAGCATATGCTCACTTCATGTCTCTGGGCCACATTTGGTAATTCTCACAATATTTCAAATATTTCATAATGCTACTGCACACTTAATAGACTATACAG